CACTGCAAGCTCCGACTCCTGGGTTCACGCCATTCTCCTGCCTCAGCCTCCCGAGTAGCTGGGACTACAGGCACCTGCCACCATGCCCGGCTAATTTTTCGTATTTTTAGTACAGATGGGGTTTCACCATGTTAGCCAGGATGGTCTCGGTCTCCTGACCTCGTGACCCACCTGCCTCGGACTCCCAAAGTGCTGGGATTACAGGCATGAGCCACTACACTTGGCCAAAAAAAATATTTTTTTCTAATAGAGATGAGGTCTGACTACATTCCCCAGGCTGGTCTCGAACTTCTCACCTCAAGTGAACTGCCCGCCTCCACCTCCTAAAGTGCTGTGATTACAGGCTTGAGCGACTGCCTGGTGGAAATCAGCTCTTTGATGCCTAAGAGTTACCACCTTGCTATTTTTATCCATTTACCTTTGGGGAGAAAGAGTCTGTAAAAAGTGAACTGTCAAGTACTGAACTTTTAAATTGGCCCAGGCTGGCCTCAAACCCCTGGCTTCAAATGATCCACTGGCCTCGGCACCCCCAGAGTGCTGGGATTACAGGTGAACTTTTAAATTGGGAAAGAATCCCAAGGGGCTTTTGCAAAGTTGCATTAATTATAAACCACCATCTTTTGGATTCTAACCATGGCCAAAAGATGCTGTGTCCACGACCTCTTCCGTCCTCACACTAACCCTCTAAGATTGACTGGTGCCGTCCTCATGTTCCTAACAAGGCAACGGGGAGGGAGCGTCTGCATTTGCTGGGCCCTGTGGCTAGCAAGGGGCCAGGGCTGGCACACGAATCTGTCTTGTGCCTCCCTTGTTGGGGGGCTCCCCGAAGGCCCCAGGCAGGTGTGGTCTGTGTCTGTGTTCTAGCTCCTGGTGTCTAGAAGGATCTGAGTAAGTCCCGCCTGCTAGAAGTGTAACATCCCATTCCCAATCCTCAAACCATTCCCTCTCTCTTTGCAGATACCCTGTTCCAGTTGAAGGTATGTACCGAACGGCCGTTCACCCCAGCCCTGTTCTGGTGAGGACAGATAGCGTAAGCCACACTCACTCAGAGCCACAGAAACAGCTGGGCAGATGATGTAATAGTTGAGTGACCACCACACAGGGCTCAGACTGCTGACCAAGGAGGGATTATTGAGCCAACTTGGTGACGTATTAGCTCTTTTCTTATCAGGCTAAGTGGAGGCAGATCCTTAGGGTCATCTATGAAAGACGGAGTGTTACCTTTTTTTTTTTTTGAGATGGCATCTCGCTCTGTCGCCCAGGCTGGAGTGCAGTGGCCGGATCTCAGCTCACTGCAAGCTCCGCCTCCCTGGTTCAAGTGATTCTTCTGCCTCAGCCTCCTGAGTAGCTGGGACTACAGGCGCCACCACCACGCCTGGCTAATTTTTTT